CACTTGATCTTAGCCAAAGGCCGAGAAAGGTATGTTCAGGAAATCTTCGTGCGAGGATTCTCTTCGATCTTTGTGTCGTAGGAATCGGTAGGATGCAACCAGTGTCAATACCTTTCTCGGCCTTTTGGCAAAGTAAGATCAAGTGCAATGCATCTGCTATCTGATCAGTTTAATAGGTCATCCGTGGTCCATCGGGCCACAACAATTAAAAAAAAAAGGATGCAACCAGTGTCGCTACCCTAGTACCGTGAACATAACAGTATACTCACACTAGCACGATCGCAAATGCACCTGACCACAATTGTGACATCACCCAGACTAATCCGCAATTACGTCCAGGAAGCAGTGGAGAAGCCCTAGTAGCGCGAGTATGCCCTAAGTCCCTTCAATGATGACGGTATTTGACCGACATAGATCCTGTAAACACTTATGATGTTAGGGACCTTAGTCCGGGGGAATAAGGTAGTACCGTAGTAAGGTAACTCGCCGGATAACAAGGGTAGATGGGGCTGGGGAGTGAACAGTCGAAAAGCTCCAGAGGGGTCAGCGAACGCGGCAGCGGGAGAGGTTTACTGCCAATTCGACCGGCGATTCGGCGAACAACAGCCGGTATCGTAGAGTGGACCGGGTAGACGAAGTACTCGAGAGAAGAAACAAGAACTAGTGAGAAAAAAACAAAGTCAAAAGTAGGCGATCAGTCAGAAAAGGGATGCCTTTCTAGGAGTACACTTACATTAGGACTGTTTGGACTAGCTCTGGACCGAATTGTGGTCAGATACACCCAGGTCATGCTAGAATTCCGGTCACAGACATCCATGAAAGTACTATTTTGAGGATGCCCTAAGATCAATTGTATAGATAGATAGATAGATAGATAGATAGATAGGTAGATAGATAGATATGTTGAGGTTGGTATTTGATCTGTTAATTATCGGGCGAAAGCTGAAGAATGGAAAAGAAAAGAGATGTGATAGGGGTTGCCGATGCATCGTTGAATGGCGACCCATATGTTGTTGTTGCAGTCTATTTTCTGCTTTTTGGAGAAATTAATTACTTGTTCCTTTTATGGTGTTGCAGTTGTTTCTTTTCACACAATGACTTTTTCTTTTTTTCTTTTTTTTTCAGTGAACTTCGTTTCAGGGCTTTCCACTTAGTGAGGTTATAGGAGCATGGGAAAAAAAAAAGAGGTGATAGGAGCCCCCTCCCCTTAAATGGTTTCCCTGTGTTGCAGTTGCAGCTCTTCACACAATTGCTTCTCCCTTGTCCGATGGGTAGGAAAAGCTGTGCCGCCTGTGCGGACCGTCGCAGCTGTCCTGGCCAGAACTGACGCAGGGCGTCGGCGCGCAACTCACCAAGTGTGAAAAGGACAAAGCTATGGAGGGTGTATCTTTCCACTTTCTAGAGGAAGGTACATTGATGCTCCATTGTGCGCAGTCTGTGAGCAGTGCGGCGAGGCCTACACACAGGAAGTGCGGCAACCAGGGAAAGGGCACGGGGTACGGTAGGACGGGATCGGGTGTCGGGGATACCGATGAATCGCGACGACCGACGTGCTGCTGTGACCTGCATCAGATTGGAACTGGGTTGTAGAGATTCCAACATGATCATGGAAAATTGTAACTCGATTTTGTGACTCTACTGAAGTTACCCAAAATGTATTCTCTAGTCCTCTGCGATAGTTAGAAAAAGAGAAGTCCCAAGCGTCGTAGGTCCACGGTCCCTGTGACACTCTGGCCAAGGATCCGCTTGGTCAAGAAGACAATGATACCCGATACCCAACAGTGGGGGAGCGATTTGCTCTTTCTTGAGATACAACGTCGTAGTTCTTCTACTGCTTTTTGTTCATTTGCTCAGGCGAGATCCTTCATTCTCTCGCGTGCTGGCGTTTGGCCCTGAACGGGAAAAAAGAGCGCGTGTGCTTGTCCTCACGGATCACTCAGCACAGATAGGACATATCTCTCTCTCTCTCTCTCTCTCTCTCTCTCTCTCTCTCTCTCTCTCTCTCTCTCTCTCTCTCTCTCTCTCTCTCTCTCCACGTCTGCGTTCCTGTTCTCAGTGATTACTCAGCGCAGAAAGGATCTCTCTGTCTCTCTCCCACTGCCTCCCTGTCCTCACTGATCACTCAGCACAGAAAGGGCATCTCACTCTCTCCCTGACCCCCTCTCCCTCCCGCCCCTTTTCCACCCTGCACACGCGCACGACTCGGCAAAGGGGAGAGAGAGAGAGAGAGAGAGAGAGAGAGAGAGAGAGAGAGAGAGAGA